TTTTAAAAAAATTATTTTATTAATTTTAATGAATATTTACAGAGATTTTGGATTTCCATTAATTCATTGTTGCATTTTTCTCCCGGATCACTTTCTTAGGAACAGAAACAAATATGGATCGCTTCCATTCAGACTGATAAGCACCTGTCTTCCAAATTGACTGGCACAAACTGATGAGCATGTCTAGGGCTGTATCTGTTACTTAAAACATGTTATTTGGAATCCCATCAATTCCTAGACATTTATTTTTTTGCCAACGCCTTCCAGTACAACTTGAACTTATACTTTCATTACCATTGGCACTTGCTTATATGTTACATCCAGAAATATTTCCATGTTTGGTACAGTAACTCTTTTTCTTTGTTCAATATTCCTTTGCTGCTTCCTGGATCATTCAAAGTTTTGCCCATAGCTCCTGTCGGGATTGCAACTCAAGGCTTGAATTTGTTATTCGGTTCGGTTCTTTCAACTTAAAAAATGTGAAGCAAGTTTTCCCCTTGTTACTTATTTATTTATGACTCCAGCTCTCTACATGTCCCATGTTCCATTTTACTACTTTGTTTTGTCTTCTGCCAGTTGTCCTGTGAAATCTGTTCATCTCTTATTTTTTATTTTTTTTTAACCAAATAAAGTGCTTCAGTTTCTTGAAAAGATGGATCCAAATACTGGCCACTTTACTCAAGTCTGTACGCAAAGTCAGGATTCAGTGATAAACTACTGCAAATGATATGAAGGGGAAAAGGAAATGAATACAAACAACCTTCATTTTCTGAGGAGGTGTGCCATCCTCATTCCTAGAGCTAATCCACTTGATCCAGAACCTTCCACAAGTGGCATCAATACCATAATCTTACGAAACTTCAAAGCTACATAACTTTACTTTTATGATTTCTGCAAGTTTTACACATGACTGAAGAACAATTGTTGTTATATGCCATTGAGTCACCTGAGACTCATCACAACCCCATGTACAACAGCTCTGAGGCCTGCCCTGTCCTGAGTCAGTCTCACTGACTCCAACACATCTATCCTCACTGCCCCATTTACTGTATCAATCCATCTCATCCAGGGTCTTCCTCTCCTACACTGTCCATCCACCCTTCCCTAGCATGATGTCCTTCTCCAAGGCCCAATCCCTCCTGACCACATGGCCAAAGTATGTGAGACAGAGCTTCAAAAATCTTAGCCTCCAAAGAGAAACTTGTTTCACCCTCTCTAAGACAGACTTGTTTGTTTTCTTAGAAGTCCATGATGTGTTCAAGATTCTTCTCCAGCACCACAACTCAAAGCTATCAATTCTTCTTCTGACATCCTTAGTCATTGTCCAGCTCTCTAATGCATAGCAAGTATTTGCAAAGACCATAGCCTGGATCAGCTGCACCTTAGTCTCTATACTGATATTGCTTCTCAGCAAATTTTCCTAGTGCAATTCATCTTTTGATTTCCTGACTCCTGGCCTTCTAATTGTATTGTGGGAGAAGAGTACAGAATATTCCACAGACTTCCAAAAGCACTCCCTCCTGTTTTTGAGGAAGTGCAACCAGAGTACTTCTTAGAGGCAAGGATAGTGAAACTTCCTTCCACATACTTTGGCCATGTTGTCAGGTAGGGCTCATCCTTGGAAAAAGACATCATGCAGGGGGAGGAGGAGGGTTATAAAAGAAGAGGAAGACTCTGAACAACATGGATTGTCACAGTGAATGCAACAATGGTCTTGTGTGTGTTGGAGATTGTGAGGATGGGGAAGAATAGGGCAAAGTTCACATTTGTTCATAGGATCTTTATGAGTCTTCATCTACTGGACAGTATATAACAACAACAATAGATGTTATAAATATAAAAATATACTTATAAATGTGTATATATATGATTTCTAACACACTAAAACTCATAAAGATCAGATATATAATAATAAAAACTACAAATAAGAGTAAATTGCTGTTGTTATGTGCCATCGAGTCGCTTGTGACTCATAGCAAAACTATGTACAAGAGCCCTAAATGCTGTTCTATCCTGTGCCAGCCTTGCCATCTCAAACATACTCATTCCCACCACTCCACTCACAGAATCGATCCATCTCATCGAGCGTCTTCCTCTCCTGTGCCATCCCTCCACTCTCCCAAACATGATGTCCCTCTCCAAGGACCAGTCCCTCCTTGCAACATGCCCAAAGTATGTCAGACGAAGCTTCAGAATCCTTGACTCCAAGGAGCATTCTGGCTTCACCCTCTCCAGGACAAACCTGTTTGTTTTCCTAGCAGTCCATGGTATATTTTGACACTCTTCTCCAGCACCACAGCTCAAAGGCATCAATTCTCTTTCTATCATACCTAGTCATTGTCCAACTCTTTGATGCATAGCACATAATTGCAAAGACTATATATAGCCTGGATCAGGCGCACCTTAGTCTCCAGTCTGACGTCGTTGCTTTTCAGTACTCTTGAGAGGTCCCTCACAGCTGACTTTCCCCATGCAATTCATCTCCTGATTAAGTATTTTACTTATATAAAAAGTGACTTATGATCATCATCAGAATGGAACTGTAGTAAATTAGGAATCACCTATGTCAGTCTTCTAGAATGAGTTTGGTAGAAAGAGTTTAGATTCTGTGATAGTGTCCAAGGGTTTGAATAAAGTAAAGTTAAATATTAATCCATCCAGATCTTCCATCTGAGAAGCCCATGTGAGACAGGCAACCAAAAGGTATCTGATGTTAGATCAAGAAAACCACAAAGCAAATATTCTCCCCTAATTTCCCACACTCTATTGCAATGAATACTTCTTAGTTCCTGTTAAATTGCTTTCCAGGACAAACATGCTTTAACTGATTCCTTAAGCATGTGAGGTTGAACCATCCTTTGACTTTCCTCCAGTACATAGTAGATTTGTTTTCATTTCCACTTCAAATTGAACTCGAACAAGAGAAGTTTCATTGTCAGCAACTGGCCTGGTTTTTACTGCTGATATTGAGCTTCTCCAAGAATTATTCCCACAGATATAGTCAATTTGATTTCTGTGTAGCCCATCAAATAAGATCCATATGTTTCATCACCATTCTTTTAGAAAAGGTATTGTCAATGAATATTTTCAATGAAGTTGTGGCTGACACTGAGAAGAATGGGAATCCCAGAGCACTTGATTGTGCTTATGCAGAATCTATACCTGGACCAGGAGGCTGTTGTGTGAACAGAGCAAGAGAACACTACATAGTTTGGAATTGGGAAGAGAGTATACAAGGTTTGTAGTCTCTTTCCATACCTGTTTAATCTGTATGCTAAACAAATTATTTGAGAAGCTGGATTATATAAGGAGGAGTGTGAGATCAGATTGGAATGAGACAATCTTGTGCTCAAAGTGAAGAGGGCTTGAAGGACTTGCTGCAGAAGATCAGGGAATGCAACCTTTTATATGGATTGCATCTCAATGTTGGGAAAACAAACATTTTTACCACTTTACCAATAGGCAGTGTGGTGATGGATGGAAAAGAGATTGAGACTGTCAACAGCTTCATCTTGCTTAAATCAGAATTAACACCCTTGGTACTAGCAGTTAGGAAATAAGGAGATGCATTTCACTGGGAAAGTCTGCAGTTAGGGATATTTCCAAATTACTGAGAAGTAGTGATGTCAGTTTGAAGGTTAAGGTGTGTCTGACTCAGGCCATAGTCTTTCTGATTACTTGCTATGCATCTGAGAGGATGACAGGAAAAGAACTGATGCCTTTGAGCTGTGGTGTTGTAGAAGAGCACTGACCATCCCATGGATGGCCAAGAGAACAAACAGTTAAGTCTTGGATAGGGTGCAGCCAGAGTGCTTTTTGGAGGCAAGAATAAGGCTTCGTCTCACATACTTTGGACATGTTGCTAGAAGGTGTTACTCCTTAGAGAGGGCATAAGAATGGAGGGTTGACAAAGAAGAGGAAGACCTTCAACCAAGACGATTGACACAGTGACTGCTGCAATGGGCTCTAGTGAGTCAGGCAGTGAGGATGGTGCTCAACGACACCTAACAACAAACATTTTCAATGAATGAAACATAGATTGTATAAGATGCAATCGTTTGGTCTCATATCGCATTTCTTTCAACATGTCCATAATTTCCTACTACTCATTCTTTGTTCCCAACTTTTGCTGAGCTACTGCTGGATTCAAACTGCTGAACAATAGATTATGGCACCAGGGACATGAGTTAGTCATTGCTGTAGAGTCGGAACAGACTCCTAGATGGCCCACTAGAGAGCTAGGGAGTTTTTGGAGGCTCAATCTCAGGGGAGGAGATTGTCCATCTTTCTCGTATAGGACAGCTGGTGGATTTGAACTGCCAAAGAAGCATAACTTTGGCTAGTAGCTCAACTCTACACTACTAGAACTCCCTCCGAGAGCATCTCAAAAGCTCATTGCCATCCAGCGGAACCGATCCACAGCTGACTCTTCAGTGGGCTATCAGCAACTGAGTATGACAGAGACTCTTTACCCACTAGGCCACCAGGAATATGTTGTTGTTGTTGGAATTAGGTTAATAATTAACTTGTTTTTAAAAAATTAGTTAAGACCGTTAACAGGAATATGCAGATTTGAAATACAAAACTAAGTTTTGTTACCGATTGTACATTGAAAATTGAAGTTAAAAATCCATTAAAATTCTAATGTGAAAAATAAGATTCTAATTGAGGTCGTTCTTCAGAAGAGATCAATAATGCATAAGTTTATTTTAGTAATCTCTAGATAATATCAAACACACCAGAAGCCACATTTCTACCAGATATTCTGGAACTCCCAGGACTTGGTTTGGGTTTGGGATTACATTATTAGAAGCCACCGGGCCTAAGGCACCCAGGCCAGATGTCAGCGGACTACAACTCCCGGAAGGCACCTCGAGGGGCGGGGATAGTGGGTGGAGCCAAGTTCGGAAACCGGGCTCGCGGGCGGGCGGGGCAGTGGAGGCGCGGCGCTGAGGTGGCGGTTCTAAGAGCTCCCGGATGTGGAGAAGCTGGGGAGGAGGCGTGGGAGAAAGATGGACTCAGTGGAGAAGGGGGCCACTACCTCTGTCTCCAACCCGCGGGGGCGACCATCCAGGGGCCGGCCGCCGAAGCTACAGCGCAACTCTCGCGGCGGCCAGGGCCGAGGAGTGGAGAAGCCTCCGCACCTGGCGGCCCTGATTCTAGCCCGGGGCGGCAGCAAGGGCATTCCCCTGAAGAACATTAAGCACTTGGCGGGGGTCCCGCTTATTGGCTGGGTCCTGCGTGCGGCCTTGGACTCGGGGGTCTTCCAGAGGTGCGCATGTGCCGGAGGGGGCTGGGCCGGGTTTGCGGGGGAGTGCCACCCGGCTGGGCACTTAAGGATTTGGGGGTACCTGGGTGGCACTCCTGGAAGGGGCGTGCAAGTTCCCGTGTGCGGGTGCTCGCTGAAAGCAGGGGGAGGAAGGGCCAAGTTCCTGGTTCCTTAGCTCCAGAATCAGTCCCCGACCTTGAGAATGCCCACCTGTCAGAAGAGGGCTAATTGTCCCTCTTTGCTCCGTCTTCTCCGTCTAGATGGACCTCCTAAGGGAAAGTGAAAGGGGCCACTCCTGGGAAATGTCTGTTGCATGCGTGTACTCATTTTTTACGGACCTTTTGCTCTCCCCTGTTGCACAGCCTCTACTGACTCTTGGTCCTGATTGATTAGAGAGGTGTCAGGTTTATGAACAGAAGGTGTCTGGGCCTTACTACTCGCAAGCTCAGCTTGGAGATCCTTTCTTGACCTTTGCGATGTATGTGTTATCTGCCTGTGAGTCAGCATAATCTTTCGTTTCTGCATAAGTGAGAGACTGTACGAAGGTATAGGTCATTTGTTCAATGGTAAATGTTTTTATCAGAACTTTGGAATCTTGTTTGTCCAGAGGACAATGTTAATTGTGCATGTATCGATATTACCATATTCCGGCTTGGCTAGACTACAAACCGGTGTCATTCATAAAAGAAAACTAAGAGTCTGTGCCAAGAATTAATTTGCGCACAGTAGCTTCATCCTAACTAACTACACCTGAATTTTGAAATTGTCTTCACCTTTTGGTGATTGGGCTTTGATTTGCAAGAAGATGGCTGGTTTTGAAAATTATATGAATAAGTTATTTTCCTTTAATTATCCTTGTTTGAAAAGGAAATACTTAAAAGTGTATAAATTTACTAATTTCGTTGATGTTTTCACCCAAAGGAAGCCTTGGGTGGAGTTGGCACTCAAAAGATAATGCTAATGTAGTAGGAAATGTGCAGAGGAGAGATAGGAAAGGACTAGACAATTTCAGCTCAGTGAGCATTTTCCAAGTCCTAATGTATGTCCTTGGAGCTAAGGTAATAACATGACTGTAACTTTGGTGCTTGTCCTCGTGGACTTTTGAACATTTTCACTTTTTTAGAGGACACAAACAGGAGGAGGATTAAGGGATCCAGGCCAAAATGATATAGTAAAATGGTGTTGTTGTTGTTATGTGCCGTCGAGTCGCCTGCGACTCATAGTGACCCTAGGTACAACAGCCCTAAACTCCGCTCTGTCCTGTGCCAATCGCACTGTCTCTGACACTCCCATCCCAATTATCCCAGTCACTGAATCAATCCACCTCATAGAGGGCCTTCCTCTCCTGCGCCGTCCCTCCACCCTCCCAAGCATGATGTCCCTCTCCAAGGACCGGTCTCTCCTCACTACATGTCCAAAGTAAGCCAGACGGAGCCTCAGAATCCTTGCCTCCAAGGAGCCACCCGGTTTAACCCTCTCCAGGACAAATCTATTTGTTTTCCTAGCAGTCCATGGAATTGGTATATTTATGAAATGATTAGTGGGTCACATCTATAGTAAATTAACTGAGAACAAAACTTGCATTTATCAATCTCTGGTTACCTGTTGACCTCATTGAGTGCTCAACTGCTAACTGGAAGTTTGGTAGTTTGAACCTATTAGCCCCTCTGCAGGTGAAGAGACTTGACAGTCTGCTACTGTAAAGATTTTATATGAAAATTATGGAACATTTCTGTTCTGCCCTATAATGTTTCAATAGAGTCAAGAATAGCTTTGCAGTGGCATTCAAAAACTTTAAGGACAAGCTTGTTTCAGTAAATATTTAATACCTCGTGTGTGTGTGTGTGTGTGTGTGTGTGTGTGTGTGTGTAGGCCCCTCTTTTTCACCAGAAACATCAATTTCTAAATTCTTCCAGGTCTCCTTTTATGATATCATTCTGGTTGGGTTCCTCATAATGTGTCAGGTTAAATAATAAAGTCTTATGAGAGAGAGCACTTCTGGCAGCTGTTTAACAAATCTTCACCTCTTTGTTTCCTCATCTGCAAAACCCCAACTTATTCTCATTTATAAACAGTCCCTAGAATACCAGTTATTTGGGGCTGGTTTCATGATTTCAATTAGTAATGACCCCATAGAACATAGTAGAACATGCAGTCTTTACAGAAACACACTGTATCTTTTTTACACAGAGCTGCTGGTAGGTTTGAACCATAGGCTTAGCACCCATACATTTAGCCACTGTCCATCTGGGTGCCTAGACCTTAGAAGAGTATCTGCCATATGCTATGTGATTTGTTGCTGAAATTTCCTCCCTGTATTTTTGGTGTTTTAACAGTTTCTACCTCTTTCAATGGCTAGTGTTCATGTTTCTAAAATGAGAATGTTGTATCTTCAGAACTCTTTCTAGTGCTAGGAGTCTTTGACTCCAATGAGTTAATTGAAATAGGACTTTTTTTTCTGCATTTCAAGATTTATCCACCTATTGTAATACTTTTTTTCTGACTCTTCCCTTCTATAAAGGGTCAGATGGAAAATTATTTTGGGCTTTGCAAGCCAAGTCATCTCTATTGTTGTTGTTACATGCCATTGAATTGAGTATGACTCGTAGTGGCCCTATGCACAATAGCTCTGAACCCTACTCTATCCTGAGCCAATTTCACTGTCTCTGACACATCTACCCTCATTACTCCAATTACTGTATCAATCTGTCTCATCGAGGGTCTTTCTCTCTTGCACTGTCCCTCAACCCTTCCAAACATGGTAGCCTTCTCCAGGGACTGGTCCCTCCTGGCATCTTGCCCATTCTATGTCAGATAGAGCCTCTAAATCCTTGCTGCTAAGTAGAAACTTGGTTTAATCCTCTCCAGGACAAACTTGTTCTCTTGGCAGTCTGTGATGTTCAGTACAGCACATCTCAAAAGCATCAATTCTTTAGTCACCTTTGGTCATAGTCCATCTCTCTGAAGCATATCAAGTAATTGAAAAGATGACCTGAATCAGGTGCACCTTGGTCCCTTGACTAACATTGTTGTTCTTTAGCGTTCTGGAGAGGTCTCTGGCAGCATATTTTCCTAATGTAATTTATCTTTTGATTTCCAAACTGCTGGTGCCAAGAATGTTGATTGTGGGACCAAGCAAGCTGAGATTGTTAGCAATCTCAATATCTCTTTGCCACTTACCATGGTGCTGCCATTTGGCCCAGTGATGAGAATCTTTGTTTTCTTGATGTTGCACTTCAATCCATGTTGCAGACTATAGGCCTTGACCTGGAGCAAATGCTTCAGGCCCTGCTCAGTTCCAAAAAGCAAGGTTATGTCATCTGCATAATGCAGGTTGTTGAGACACCAATCTTGATGTCACTATTCCCACTCATAAAGACTAGCCTCCTGAATGATATATTCCAAATATAGATTGAAAAAGGATGGAGACAGGACACATCCCCGACACACTCCTTTCTCAATTTTGAACCATGCGGTGTTTCCTTGCTCTACTCTGACATCTACTTCCTGGTCCAAGTATAACTTTTGCATGAGCACAGTCATAGTTAGCCACAGGGTTCTGGTGGCCTAGTGGTAAGAAACTGCACTGCAGTCTCAACTGAGGCACAGTTTGTTGTGATCCACACAGGCAAATGCCTTTGCATAGTCAGTGAAGCACAGGTAGACATTCCTCTGGTGCTCTCGGCTTTCTGCCAAGATCTATCTGACATTGGCAGTGATGTCCCTAGTTCCACACCCAGCTTGTATTTTTGGTAGTTCTTTTGTTCGATGTACTATTTGTGGATGAACTTTAGCAGGATTTCTGCTTGTGTGTGACATTAGTGGTATTGTTCAGTAATTTTCCACTGTGTCCTATGTCCATCTCTATTACAAGTATTCTATACAGCCATTATAGTAAAATCAGAGCTTATATAAATGAATGGGCATGACTGTATTCCCGTAAAGCTTGATTAAAAAAAAAATATAGGTCGACTGGATTTTCCCTGGGCAGCCCCTGCTCTACTAGATGAAAAGCTTCAGGTAATTAGTAAGGTGCTGTCACATTCATCTAGGTGTGCTCCACATGCTCTGTAAAGCGGACCTTTGATTAAAATGCATTGATTTGAGCATACTCTTTTTTTCTGACCTACAGATAAGGATTGGAAGACTTCTTTTTTTCCCCTTTTACTCACTTTTTCCACAATATTTACCCAAGGAATGAATTGAAGAAAATTGTAGCACCTTGACTGATGTTTTTTTCAAGGACAGACGAGAATGTTGGACATTCTATTAAGAACCTTTGGAAAATATTCTGTTAAAAACCATCATTTGAATGAAATGAGACAGATTTTTTTTTTTGTCTACTCAATCTTATCTCCATACCTTTTCAACCTATATGCAGAACAGATTATCTGGGAGGCTGGGCTCTATGAGGAGAAATGTGGGGTCAAGATTGGTGGACG